AACTTGAATTCACAAACATATTGAATACATGGAAGAGTACATTAAGTACATTGACATAGGGAAAATGAGAGGCTATTCTTTTCTCATGGATAGCTGTATATATTTTGACCTTTCATTTAGTGACAATTTCCTGTTTTCACCATTTTTCTTGGTGGAGTAACCACAGAACATATGTCTTCGAGAGTCTAACTGGAAGTAAGAATTCAGTACCTTTAGGGAAGAGATTATTAAGGCATTCTAAATATTTTATATTTTTATTAAATTTAGAATCTAAATCTTTAGTAAGTATTATATATATTACAGGAATATTACATAATAAACTAAGTATCACTAAGCACTAATAGCTATGTTTCTCAAACTTGCCTTTTGTTCTCGATCTTTGCTCATTATAATGTCGATTCTTTATAAGTATTGCCATATAATGTTCTGTTTGTGACTTTGTGTTAAAACTTCCAAAATGACTTCATATATATCTTCTTGACATGTTCTATAGGACAGAGACTGGTGAAAAGCATGGGACCCCTGTTTACCAATGTGGTCATAGAACCATGCTTACTACATGGAGACCTCTGGAGTGGAAACATCAGCTCTGACAAAAATGGAGAACCTGTCATATTGGACCCTGCATGTTATTGTAAGTCAAGCATTTGTGAATAGGTGGTCTATGGCTGCTTAAGTTTGGAACCAGATTAATAGTTGATGTTTGTGTCACAGGAAAATTTAACATAAAAATACCAAGGAAAAGTAAAAGGATCTTGTTTGAATTTGGGAAATTGTGACTGCTGATATATATGGTTCACTATTTAAACCTGCCAAAATAGTTAACATAAATTATAAAATGGTGAAGCATGAAGAAATGTGAGAGTAGACTTCTAAATGAGTTGTAATGTCTCTTGGTGAGCTTTCATAGCCACTTTTTTTACTATGCCCAAGGCTCAATTTTAGCATATTTTGATATTTTATCAAACACATTTTGAAAAGCCTTTATTGAGCTAGGAATGGGAAGTGAAAAATGCAGTTCAATTAAGTTGCAGCCCTAGAACCCTAGAATTATTACGTGAAAGCTAGGTCCTCTAATTTTTTTCTTATTGGGGTTAATGCTTGCTAATAAGTGAATGTGAGACTGGAAAGATCATACAATCTTTGACGAAAAAATTGGGCTCAGTTGTGGCTGTTTTGTCTTATTCTGTAGATGGACACAGTGAAGCAGAATTTGGTATGTCTTGGTGTGCTGGCTTTGGAGGATCATTCTATAATTCTTATTTTGAGGTAATACTGTTTGCTGACATATGGTATAAAGGATTCATAATTGTCTTACTCCAAATTTTCTTCCTCTGTGAATTTCTTTCTCTTTTTGTTGTTTGTTTATATGGGAATGCATGCAAGTAGTGTCAAGATTTTTTGTATATCGGCTAACCATAATCATGTAATTATGGTACTTAGGATATTTGTGATTCTTGTAATTATTACATTGATTCTATATAATAGAGCCTCGGCCGTGTATTTCAAGAACACGGAATTAAAATGTCTCTTGTTTTCTCTCTTAAACATAGTACTAGAGTCTAGCATGAGGTGACCCTAATTTGTGTCTTCCCGGTGGACTCACTGTCCATTGATGAACTTTTTTCTTCTCGTAATTGTGTTTCAACTCCAGTTCGGAGTCCCCACATCTGTGTCTGACAGTTGATACTGTCACTTGTGAGATCAAATCCAAATTTGGGTATGTCACTTGTGAGTTCAAATCCAAAATTTGATCGTGTGGTAAACCTCTTAAACTGATCCGAAAATGTGGTTATTTTTTATTTGCATTTGTTAGTGTGTGATCAAATAATATTAAACAACGTAGGCACAGAGTTGGGATTCAAATTTTGGTGTCGTCATTGTAATTTTGATGGATAAAAAGAAAAGAGTCGACCTAGTGGTGGAGAGGGAGGTAATATGTGCAAAGTCTTAGATTTGAATTATGTTGTCATCGTTGTAATTCGAGTAGATAAAAAAAATTATATTAAACAAGATAAATAACGCTTCCAGCAATATTCTGGCTCCAACCAATTTTTATTTTGTCAAATAAGATCTATCAAAATTAGTGATATGGTTTTTTGTGAAGTTTTAGGACAACAATCTTCATTAATAAAGTGAATATTTGTTAGGCTTCTCAATATCTTTGTTAAACTAGTTTATAGCTGGCTGGATATAATTGCCATGTTTCAAAGAAACACAATCTTGGTATTGGTTGGCATGTGAAATGTCAGTTCCATACAATAGTTTTCTGATAGTAATTTCAAATGATCTCTGCAGGTGATGCCTAAACAGCCAGGCTTTGAGGAGAGGAGAGACCTTTATATGCTATATCACTATTTAAATCATTATAATCTCTTTGGTTCTGGATACCGATCATCTGCCATGTCCATAATTGATGACTATCTTGCATTTTTAAAAGCTTAGGATTGCGTGCATTCTCGTCGAGCTTATATATGAATGAGGTTCTTTTCCTGTACACTTGACTACTCACATTTCCCTAACCAACTCATTCAATGAAATGGAGGTGTTATTTATACCAATGCATCTTATTGTCTCCTCAAGCATGATTAGGCTAACCTTGCGTTTTCGTTCAATTTCCCTTTATTTTGATGGTGATGAAAACTCGAGAGAAGGGAGGGGGTTGAATCAAGTTACCACTCCACTAAGTAGCCTAGGTAAAGTCGAGCTTTATAAAATATGAATTTATAATCAGAGGGTAAAGTTCACCAAAAGGAATTACCACTAGTTAAATGTAGCTCATAAACCTCCCATTCATGTATAAGATATTTTGTCCTTCACTTACAGATAGAAAATTTAAAATATTTAACTATTTATTCCAGAATATTTTCATTTTGTAGTATGTGGTATTTTATATTTATTGTGCATGTTCTATAAATGTCCTGCAAACGAGAAATACATTTACATGTTAGTTTTTTTTTTTTGTAAACAAAGAATTTATTGAGATAGAAATGTGGGGTAGAAAAGACAGAAACAAGAAATTTTCAGAAACTAGGAAAAAAGAAACAATATACATGTAAAACGCCACAAAATAATAATCATGTCAGTTATTTGAGGGTTAGTCTTCAAGGAATATTCTTTTTTGAGTTCTTCAGTACCATTGTGAATAATTTTGATACCCGAAAGATCAACCTCCTCCTAAAAGTTTTACACCGGAGGTCCACCTAAACATTCTTGTATAATGCGATTAATTGGATGTGTAAATATGGTTAATTTTGTTTTATAAATAGTTAAAAAAGAACGAACTTAATTGTATATAAATATATGATTAATAATGTCATGATTCGTGAAGTTATTGAAATATTTAATTAAATTTAATTTACATCAATGTCATGAAGTTATTCACTATCATACATAGTTATCAATATTATAAATGTGATGAATTTTTGTCTCACACTTGGCTAATAGTGTTAAAAAGTTATCGATCATTGTACGTGGTTAAATACATATATAGATATAGTAACTTTGCCTCAGAAGTCGTAAATGTTGCTATTAGATTATTGAAATGTCTAATAATAGTTAACTAACTTAGAAATAAAATTAACTATTTGTATACATGATTGATTAATAAGGTACGCCGCGTGAATCCCATGTAGAGTGTAGACAATTTTATTTTTTGTATGATAATAATCATTATTCTTTCAACTATACTAAGAGACTAAAATAGTTTACAAGCTCTCAAGTTGCCCTTGAGATAAGCCGATGACATTGTATTTGAATTATTTTATGTTAGTAAATAACATCACAATATAGAACCTAGTAAATAATGGTGAGTCTAAATGTCTAATTATAATTATTGTGTCTTTATTAGAGCATGCAACCGGCAACATGTGACTTATGAGTTCTGAGATTGATTTTAAAAAAAAAAGAAAAATCAATTCATCGTCATCTATCACCGGGGGAAAATATATATTCCTTGTTCTAATTTTGTGGTTGCATTTTTAATTTTAACAATGTCAAATTCAATTCTAGACATGTCCCTAGTTCAGGCTTCGACCCTCTTCCCATATCGATCCAAATGAGCTCAAAGGATCTATTTACAACTTTTACTTCATGAGCATAAGAAATTAACCAAACAAGTACTTAAATTGATTTTAAAGTTTAATACGGGATTATATGTGCTAGATATGTTCAACTGCAAATTTATTTATTTATTTATCGTTCAAATTATGCAAGAAATCCATATTTCTTAACTGGAAACCATCATACATTTGATATCATATATAAAACTATTCTCAAGTATGCAACAAATCAAGGTTTAGTTTGGAAAATATAGCTTGAAAACTAGCTGAAAATTAAAAACTTGTAATGATTAAGTGATTAGAAAGTTATTAAACTTATTGAATTATAAATGGTCAGTAAAGTTATTTGTTAACATAGTTGAAAAAAATAAAATAATGTATATAAAATTTTATTTTATGGATAAAATATATTTTTTTTGTTAACTATTATAATTTTTATTTAGTTTCAACATATTGTAATTTTTAATTCAAAAAATATATTATTCTAATTTATTATTTTATGTTGAACATTCTCCTATTAATCTTATATCTTAAATATTCCCAACCAAGTTCAAAATAAAATGAAATTAATATGTTTAAATAAACATCATACTTTCGTCACGTTGATTAATATGATAATACTATTGCATACTATCTAGTCTAGTATGTATCTTAAAGTATAATGTTAAAATAATAAAATAAATTATGCACGCACATAATGGTTAAAATACCTGAAAAAAAAAAGCTACCTTGATAAAAAAAAAAGGTTAAAATAAACTTTAATATAACATCTCCAAAAATAATAATAAAATCAAAATGGAATAACAAAACCTTATCTTATGTATAAAATAAAAAGTTAGTAAACATTTTAAGGTAAAAAGGAAATAAAATATACGAAACTAGAAACTAAATGCTATTTGAAATAGCATCTTATATATCGCTTCAAGCTACTATGTTTTACCAAACACTAATAATATATTAATATAAGTCATAAGTCAAACAAACTATTCGATTAGGGATAAAAGCTAAAAATTATCAGTCTAAACGAAAATTATCAACAATGACTTTCTAGTAAGACAAATTTGTCAATGCAAAAGTACTAAAAAACAGATAAATTATTAGATAAACTCTATTCCTTCAAGCTTTCCACAGCTTCAAGCAACAGCATCATTTTGTAGTCCACTACAAAAGTTAACAACAACAAAAGATAACAAAGGAGAATAGCATTAAAAAATAATAGGAGAATACAAAATGTAAGATATACTCCCTCTATTCTCTTTTTATAAGCAACAAAAAAATACATTTTTTTTTCTCAAATATAAACAAATTTCAACTACTTTTGTCTCATTTAGTAATACTTATCTTAAAGATATCTTTTCTTTAATACATGATCTTTTAATTGAACCACTTTTTTGAGTAAAGACAATTTAAGAAGAATATTATATAATTAGTAAAATTTAATACAGTTAACTAATTTCTTTAATAAATGTGAAATCAGTTTTTTTTTTTTTTCTTATAATTAAGATCAGAAGGAATATATAATCATGAACATGAGCACATCAGTAACTGGGATTATACCTTGATAACCAGATCTTTAAATCCTCATCGCTAAACTTCTGAGTTCCATTTAGAGCATAAAAAGTTTCATCAATCTTTGCTGCTTCAGCCCCAGAATTGCCATGTTCCTCATCTGATGTTAGTAGAGGAACAGGAAGTAGTGGGGGAAATTCTTGGCTCATGTCATTGGCTAGCAGTGTTGAAAAATCCATTTCAGTTTGCACAGCAAGATCATTCACATGGTAGACACATGCGTCCTCGTTGAAAACTTTTCCATCAGCAGCATTTTCAACCTGGCTGATGTCTGCACTCCCATTACCATTGTTCATGAAATCACCAGAGCCAGATGTGTAGTATGCTACACCAAGCTGTTCCAGCGGTCGATACAATGCATCTTCCTCCAAAGTCCACGTAGTTGAAAATAACGATGCAAGGTTCGGCGTTTGAGTGCGCAGAGAATGCAGATACATGCAATTACAGATACAAAACTTATGGTTATGCAATTGAGGCCTGTGTCCTTTATAATCGCTGTGCTGTTTAATAGGATTAGTTTTCTTCGAAGATCGACGAGATCTCTGAAATAGACAAATATACAAACAGGTCATGATTCAGATACAACATAATAATGCCAAAACAATATGAACAGTGGAGACTAACTTATAATTATTATGTCTTCTAATAAATGTCGTCTTAGACTATTTTACATGGACTAAAAAAACTAATAAATAGATAAAAAAAGAACAGTGATTTTACAAAATTAACTTTATGATTAATCTTCTTTTTTGCTAGAAACAATACAACACAATAACCACTTTCTAAAGACTATTATGAAGGATATAAATAGAAAAGAGGTAATTAATACTACATTAAAAAGCTAATATGACACTTATTTAAGAAATTACTAATATGACTCTTAATATAGAACAGAAAGAGTAGTATGTTGTAACAAAAACCAAGGCTGCAATGAATTTAACCATAAGTATTGCAGATCTAGAAATAAAATATGTGAATTTAGAGGGAAGGAAATATGAAAAAAGAGAAGAAAGTACTTTGTAACTAACTCTGTAACTTCCTCACTTCCTGAATAGCATCAATATTGAAACAAAATTCAAAACTCTAGCATTTAGCAGCTTCATAAAACCATGCAGTAAAACTGAAACCGCATTGCAGACTTGCAATAAATCAATTTTCAAGTATATTTTGCCTATTTTGAAACACCTCAGTGCAGCAGTAAGGTTGCTGCCGTATGACTTGGTGGTCATGGATTCTCTTCACTCACAGGCCATGGCATAAGGCTGCTTACAATTGTTCATTTTTCAAAGACACCATTACCAGATACTTAAAGAATTTCTAGAAAAAAGTAAAATGAGGACACATGCACCATTGAAAAGAACAAACCTGTGAATAGTTTGTAGAGGTCCCCTTTTTAGGTCCTAGTACATTCTTAAGCCGGTGTCTTTGATTTGGAGTAGCTTCTCATAAGAAAGACAACAAATGTTACTCTTTATAGCTCACAGCTACAGCAGAAACAAATAAACAATAAACTTAAGTCCAAACTTACCATTGATTCCTGCTAAATCAACAGCAGCTCCCAAGAACTTTGTACGTGAAACATTACGCCAACTAAGCCTTTTCCTTTTCGGCACTAATGATTCACTTTGTTCTCCCCCTATTTTAAGTCCTTGTGCTTTCCTTTTTGAACTCTGGGGTATCAGCCGTCCTGTGTTCACAAATGGATGCCGCTCTTGACTGTTGTTTACAATACTTTCCTCCACGGGAAGCCGCCCAGAGCCTCTTATATTTTCACTCGCTATTCTTCCATCTTTTTTCCACATTGCATATTTCCACATGCCACTTAGATCAGAAATCTTAATTGGCTTTTTGAAACACGGTATAGACCCATTGCACAGTTCTTGTAATAAGTTAAACAGATCATCATCAGCAGTCATAACTACAGAAGCAATGAGCAGATAGTGTCAGTTAATGATTGACATTTGTGGTTTCAAGTAAAACAAGCCAAAGATCTGAGAACTTAACGAAAATATGGCACATCAGAGATTTCTCTTATTTTCCCTGTGAGGGCATTTATGTCCATGTCAGGCAAGTGAACCTCCAAAAACACAAGGTTAAGCTCGTTCTTCTTCTCCTCAACAATTGATAAAGCTTCAGAAGCTAGTGAAGCAGTCACAACTAGTAGTACAAGAAAGAAAGGAAAAGTTTGAGAATAAATCAATCCAAAATATATAGAGTATGTACTGGGAGAGGTCATAAAGTTCATCAACAAGTAGGGAGAAGAGGAGATAATATCCCACTAGTTGAGCCTAAAGTAATAAAAAAAAAAAAAATTTATGGCTACATTAAAATATGTTATAAAATCATATGATAATCTCAGAGGACAAAGAAAGATCCATGCACGCACAATTTATATGCAGTCACATGCAGAGCTGTGTTCGCTAAAATTTTTATTTACTCCATCTTAATTGCATTCTTTTTTAACTATTGTATTTTAACTTAACTTTTTAAATTAACGGTGTTCTCTTTGGCCACTCCCATGATTTTAAATTGCGATTACAATTGTGGTTGTGGAGATTTCCAAAACCTTAATATTGCAATGAGATTGGGAGACCTCCAAAATCTTAATATTGCTTTAACAACTGCAGTTGCAAACCACAATTTAAAACCTAGGCCGGCCCAATTAAAACAATCTACTAATCTAGCTCCACCTCTGTACTTAACAATAAACATCGTTGGCTGACAGAGCAGAGTATGAATATGATCAATTTATCATCACTAAATTCACAATGGATAATCATGACTTAAATGTTCATAGATATGACAGATATCGTTATGGAACATCTAAAATTGAGTTTGCAAAGATATTTGAATGCAGTTAAACAGCATATAATCCATAGATATAAGAAATATATATCCAATACCAATTACCTTCATATCCAAGGCTATGAAGCATTTTTGATACAGCAGCTAGAAATGTTAGGTTGGCATCTACAACCAAAACTTTCACCCCCGGTATTGGACAAATGTACTTGCTCAAATCAACTGTCTGGAACTTGATATAGTCCATTTTAGAGAGAGTATGTTACAGAGAAGTATATCTGCCTGAAGAAAATGTTGAGTGGGAGAGGAAATTAGGAGAGGAAGTTTTACATTTAAATATCACATCCATATACTATATTTTTGTATATAAATTGCTTTTAGCAATAAACTCTTTAATTGTATAACGCTAATCTCCCAAACAATAGGTGGAGGGCAGAAACCACTAAAATTCTGTTTCCAAATTTTTATGAGAATGGGTATCGACTTTGGAGAGCCAAATGTGAGCAATATTTCATGTTGGAGGAAGCCCCAAAAAGACAGATGGTGAGATCTTGATGGCCATAAGGTGAGGACGAGTGGCATGTGCTTTGAAATGAAGCTCCAATTACAAGGGTTAGAGGTTCAGCAAAAATTCTACTTGTTTGATTTACATGGAGTTGATGTAGTTTTGGGGCTGGAATGGTTGGGGGAATTGGGAGAGATCAAAGCCAACTTCAAGGAGTTCACACTTAAATTTAAGAAAGAAGGGAAAGGAGTGGTACTTAGAGGGGACCCATCTCTCAACAAGGCTTCTGTTTCAGTTCAAACCATGGTAAAAATGATGGAGGAGGTAGAGCAAGGGTTTTTGATAGATTGCTATATGACTGAATTAAAACAGCAACCAGAGGAGCCATGTCCAGAGAGTGTGCAACAGCTACTTCAGGAGTTTGCAGAGGTTTATAAGGTATCTCAGGGGTTGCCTCCTAGAAAACAAGATCATGCCATTACCTTGAAGGAAGGAGCTTCAATTCCAAACCTGAGACCATATAGGCATCCACACTATCAGAAAACTAAAATTGAGAAACTAGTAGCTGAGATGTTGCATGCAGGAATCATTAGACTGAGTATTAGCCCGTACTCAAGTCCTATCATATTGGTGGGAAAGAAGAATGGGGGTTGGCACTTTTGTGTATATACTTTCTTAATAAGGTAATCATTCCTGACAAAATTTTCAATACTAGTGATTGATGAATTACTTGACAAATTAGCAAGAGCAACAATCTTTTCCAAGCTGGACCTTTGATCGAGATACCATCAAATTTGGATGAAAGAAAATGATTCTCAGAAAATTGCTTTCCACACCCATGAAGGGCACTATGAGTTCTTAGTGATGCCTTTTGGCCTCACAAATGCACCCTCTACTTTTCAATCCCTTATGAATGAGGTATTGAGAGACTGTTTTTGAGGAAGTTTGCCTTGGTTTATTTTGATGACATTCTCATTTACAGTTTAGATGTGTCCTGCCATGTTTAGCACTTGAAAAAAGTTTTCCAAACATTAGTCCAGCATCAATTAATGGTTAACAAGAAGAATTTCATTTTTGGAGCTGCAAAGGTGGAATACTTGGGGTATGTTGTTTCAATGCAAGGTTAGACGATGGCAATGGGACGGGGTGGGTACAGGTTTCAATATCTCCGTCCCCGTCCCCATACCAATATACCCATCCCCGTTTCCATACCCAACAGGTATGGAATTTGTGTCCCATCCCTGTCCCCATTTGGTATGAATATACCCATACCCGTCCAAAAATTAATTAAATATTTTTTTTGCAAAAAACAAAAAAAAAACAAGAATTTCAACATAGAATAACAATTACAAAATTACATTAAGTTTCATTTGAAATAAATTTAAAATAAAGTAAGAATTACATAAATGTCAAATAAATTCTAAAAAAAAATTAAGTTTCTTAAAATTTAAACAGAATACGGCTATAAATGAGGGGTGGGTATGTATAAATTCATCCCTGTCCCCATATACCCAATTCAATAAATTGGGTATTACCCATATCCATATGTGTCTGGTCAAACCAAGTATTTTCCATCAAAGTTGGAGTTACGGGTTTATTTGTTATCCTTAAAGCCAGACCCAAAAAAGGTAGAGGCCATTTAGCAATGGAGCTGCAAAGGTGGAATAGTTGGACCATGTTGTTTTTGGGCTTAACCAGCTATTATTGAAGATTTGTTAGAGATTACGAAAATTGGCCAAACCTTTCACTGACCTTTTGAGGGATAGGTTCCAATGGCCTGCCATGGCCCAAGATGCCTTAGAATCCTTGAAGGCTGCCATGATCAGTTACCGCCATTAGCAGTTCCAGACTTCACAAAAATCTTTGCAGTAGAAACTGATGCTTCAAACAAAGGTTTGGGAGCTGTTTTACTTTAAGCAGGTAGACCCATGGCTTTTCTGAGTCAACTATTATCTGAAAGAGCTCAAGCTAAGTCAGTTTATGAGCAGGAACTAATGGCAATTGTGGTTGCAGTTCAGAAATGAGGACACTACTTAATGGGGAGGGCCATGAAGAAGGACATCTAGGATTTTATTCAAAGATGTAACATTTGCCAAAGGAATGAATATGAAACGTTATCTCCTGCTGGCCTTTTATCCACACAGGTTTGGCCCGATATGCAATGGATTTCATTACTGGCCTCCCCGAGGCCAAGGGGAAGGATACTATTCTTGTGGTGGTGGACAGGTTCTCCAAATATGCACAAATTTGCTTCTTGCAGCACCCTTTTTCAGCAAGGATGTGGCTCACACATTTATTGAAAGAGTTGTTGAACTGTATGGGTTCCCCACCACAATTATTACTGATAGAGACCAGCTCTTCCTTAGTCACTTTTGATCAGAATTGTTCAAATAGGCAGGGACTAAACTCAAGTACAGCATTGCATATCACTCCCAAACTGACTATGTAAATAGGTGCTTAGAGACATATTTACATTGTTTTTCAGGGGAGAATCCTAAACAATGGCCTAACTGGCTATCTTGGGTAGAGTGTTGGTTTAATACTTCATACCATAGTTCAGCCAAGATGTCTCCTTTTCAAATTTTATATGGTTGCACCTTTCCAGTATTATTTAAAGGAGACATGTTTCCCACAAAGGTAGAAAATGTTATTTGACATTGGAAAGAAATAATATGTTGTAGCAACTTAAACAAAACCTGGACCAAGCTCACCAGAGGATAGAGTTTTATGCAGACAAGAAGATACGAGAAGTAGAATTCAGTGTGGGTGATTGGGTGTATCTTAAGGTTCAACCGTACCAGTTGAAATCTTTAGCAAGGAAGAGGAATGATAAGTTGTCTCCACTTTATTATCGCCACTACAAGATCCTCCCAAGAATTGGTTCACTTGCATAAAAGTTAGAGTTGCCAAAGCATGCTCGTATCCATCCTGTTTTTCATGTATGCATACTGAAGAAGGCATTGGCAGCATCATCAGTGGCACAACCTCTACCAACAATCCTAACTGAGAAATGGGAGTTGCAACCCAACCAGAAGATGTTTTAGCTGTTAGGTATGGGAATGAGGGAGCAGCAGAAGCCCTCATCTGATGGGAGCATCTTCCTCCTAGTGAGGATTTGAGGGAACAATTTGTGGCCATTCAGGACAGTTTCCCCTCATTTCCCCTTGATGACAAGGTGAAAGCTCTGAGGGGGAGTATTGATAAGAGGCCTGTGATTAAGCAACTGTATTTTAAAAGGAAGTAGTTGGGCTACAGATAGATGGGCCCATTTAGGGGTTAGTTTTTCTGTTATAAAATGTAAACCATTTTTACTTACTATAAAAGGGAAATAATGGGATACTATTAGGGGAATTTTGAATAGTTCGAAAGTTGTGAGGAGTGGTCCAGACCTCTTGAAATATCTGGAGTGTATCATTCTCTTAGGGAGATATTCCCTATAATTCAATAAAGATATACTTTCTTTGCTGTCTTGATTCACAAGTTTTATCAGTCTCGCATTGACTAAGATATGGCTTAAATAGAGCTTATAAATCTTGGACAATCCTCACCTTATAAGTTGATTTCGTGAAGTTGAGTTAATTTTTGTGGGATTGAATTAAGTCTTAAACCCAAATTCTAAGATGGAATTAGAAATTTAGAACCTATCTTAGATCTATTATCGGGTCACTTGCATTTGCCACGTTTCAGGCAATTGCCATGGATGTGAAGTGAAGTGTTGGAAAGGGGCTATTGTTCAAAAGGGATGACGACACTTTGACTATGAAAATATATATTGATGTTGACTATGTAGGTTCTATCACTAACAAAAAATCTACTTTTCGGTACTGTATGTTTCTTGGAGATAGTCTGGTAACATGGAGGAGCAAAAAGCAAGATAGAGTATCTCGTTCTAGTGCAGAAGTTGAATTTCGAGCCTTTGCTCAAGGAATGTGTGAAGGACTCTAGATGAAAATCATTTTTGGATGACCTTAAAGTCACGATGGACAACCCCGTGCAGCTGTACTGTGACGACAATAAGTCTGCCATGAGCATTGCCCATAATCCAATACAATATGACAAGATCAAATACATTGAGATTGACAGACACTTCATCAAAGATAATCTAGACAGAGGTTTTATGATTACAACGCATGTTCCTACAGAACTTCAGATAGCAGACATCTTTACAAAAGGGCTCCCTCAAGGTAGATTTCAAGATCTTGTAGGCAAGTTGGGAATGGTTGATACCCATTTACCAACTTGAGGGGGAGTGTTGTAAATATCCTAATTAGAGAAAATATCTACAGAATCTTCCTAATTAGAGAAAATATCTATAGAACCTTCCTATTTATTTTTCAGCATATTATAGTTTTTTATTTCCTTATTTTGGAGGATTAAATTGTTACAAATAGATGTAATGAGAATGTAATCCGTATGAATGAGATAATAAAATCATTCTCTCTTTTCAAATATAACAAAAAGGTGTAAAGTAAATAACTAGGATTTATTGACTTTTCTTCAACAAAACCAAAACCAAAAATTGATTCAATGAAAACTTTAGACTAGATCAACTCGAATCAAAATTGATTTGTTTGTCTGGTAAGACAGAATTAAAAACAAAATGATGGAAGCAGACCAAGTTGCTTTTCTTCTTCACACTCATCCACATCACATTACTCTTGTGTCCCACAAGAGACACAAACACAACAGTGATGCAACCACAACCATAATTTATAACCTTGTTAACAACGATTATCAAAAGGAACACCCAAAGAATTGGAAAAAAAATCGTTTCTCTTATATTTCATTCCAGATAAATCAACTCAAGTTAATTATATGATATAGGATATAGTTTTAACATTCATATTTAAAAACTATAGGTGTGTGAACTACTTTCAAAAGAAAAATAAAGAAACTAGAGAACTTACCTGTAATGAACTCTATTAAAATCCGCCAAACTTGATGATTCTTGTCTCAGATCCTGTACTCAAGCAAACTACTTTAAAACTGATATTAAAAGCTAAAGCCGTGAATTACCTTCAAAAGAAAAATAAAGAAACTAAAAAACTTACCTATGACGAGCGCTTCAAAAATCTGCCGAACTTGATGATTATTGTCAGGTACTTAGATCCTCTACCCAAGCAAATTATTTTAACATTGATATTGAAAAATTAAAGGTGTGTGAACCACTTTCAAAAGAAAAATAAAGAAACTAGAGAACTTACCGGCAACAATCGCTACCAAAATCCACCGAACTTGATGATTCTTGTCAGGTATTCAGATCCTGTACCCAAGCAAAAGAGAAGATGCGGCGGACCTGACGAGGCTCGGGATTTGTTGATTTGCAGTTCCTCGTTTAAAAACCTAAAATTTTGTCATTTGCTAAGAAAAGACGTAAATAAATACACATTGACTTTGACGGCTAATACAATGAATGAAATGAATTTAGCAAATATGGCACGATCTTAAATTCATAACGGAAGTTATCAAATTGCCATTCAAGTCATGAATTGTTAAGCTAATTTTTGAAGCCTGAATCATAAATAATACTCTCTTTGGTCCTTTTTTATAAGAAACAACCAACAGTGTAATTTCCACTATCACTTGTTTCTAATAAAAAGGACCAGAGGTAGTTTCAAATTGTCAAATTCAAAGACAATAAAAATAGCTAAAATATATCATGTAAATGATGTATAGTGCTCAATGTAACAATTTTAAATTAAAAAATTATCATAAATATCATGAAACAAAATCATAAGTCATAATTGAGTGTGTGAAACCTCTATTTAACAAGACTAAAAATAGAGAAACGGAATAAATGCACAAAAAAAGTGACAGTGTGAAATCCCTGTTTTAAAAGAATGAAAATAAAACATTTGAATAATTAAATAATGTTCATTCAATAATGCTCCTTCAATGCTCTTTCATTGAACAATTTCAATTAAATTTATCAGACTTTTTTTATTTCTTTAATAAGAAATGGTTAAAGAAAAGTAAAAAATAAAAAACAATGAATAGCTTAATCATGTGTTCGTATCAATGATATTTATAGTAAGATTCAAAGTTATCTACGATTCATCACATGGTATGAATTGTTGGCTACCAATTTGTATTGAATCAAGTGATCCAAATCAAGAATTGTAAGATTCTATTATTCTAATAATCATAACAACAAGCATAAATACCAGCCAACACTTACCAACACCTTTTTTCAGTGTTTAAGAACTTGAGCTACAAGAACATGAGGTACCTGTGACCAATAACATCCCACTCCATTCCAATAATTAGTCAAGACCTTGCTACATTAGGTTAAGGGCATGTTTGGAAGCACATCTGAGATCCACATACAAGTAAGAATCACATCAATTGATGGAGAAACTACTCTTTGTTGCTTCTATTGGATGTGGAGAGAGGATGATGATCTACGTTCTGGATTTGACTCCAAACACACACTAAATTGATTGGGGGCCCCTTGTACAATGTGCAGCATTAGCATTGACTAGTATCACCAAAATGAAAAAACCAAATATCAACCACCTATTTCTGGACTCACCACTTCACTACCGATCTTCACTCAAATTATTGGCAGAGATCTCATCATATGTGAAACCCTAAAACTCTTATCACCTCATAGATTGACGGGATGCTTACTTGGAAATATGTCGTGCTGAAGTGGAATCCAACCTCTTCAACTGAAAACTTCCAATTTTGTGAGGGAATGCTAAGAGTCTCTCAGCAGGTAAGACCATACAATTACAGAGTAGTATTCTCTGAAGAATCTAAAGCACTCATACTAAGTTTCAGTTATTTTTAAGCCATTTTCAACCCTAACCAAATAGCTAGAAGTAATAGGTGATTTGTTAACAGGGTGCAAATTCTCTTTGACATACTGAATTAGATATCTACAGTTTGATCCTAACTGCTTAACTTGATGATTACCATACCCAGATACCAATACAAGTTACTGGTGGCCTTAAACTTTGACTGCAATTCAATCCAACTATTTATTTAGCCCTCGCCCAATATTATGAATTAACTTTTTCAAGAACAAACCTCTGATAATTAAAAGTATGCAATCAGAAACAAGATTAAATTTAAAGCTTGAGCTCTGAGGTTTTATAGAGCTACCATTACTTGTAGAGAACACTATAAACTACAATTTTGTAAAAGCAATGTCAATGTCAGTCACTCAGTTGATGTTTCATGATTGGTTAGGAAATTGAAAAACAACCTTGCATAGTTTCAGTGTCAAAACTCCATTTTTTTATAGACTCTACTAGAACTAACATCAAAAGCAAGAATTTGACAATAGAATTTTATCATCACTGCATGCTGTCGTTTATATTGAACAGTTTCTTCTGATTCATCCAATTCAATCCCCTGGTTCTGGCTATATATAATATAAGACAGCATAATATGGGTAGTATTAGTTTGATAGTATAAAGAACTAAGGAACTGGGAATAACAACTATTTAAAAGGAGAAAACTAAATATAAACATGTTAAAAAAATAATGAGAAGCTGATAAAATAATGGAATCTTGCCTCTGAAACTCATCAAGAGCAGGATAATGAAACCTAATATTTGATTACATATATTCACAAGCCTAAGCTCAACTATAACATAATTAAAAGGTCCACAGATTGATACCATTTTATTGTCAGTTGTTCAATATTCTCCTAAACTCCTAATGGTACCAGAAGATCCGAAGCACAACATATGAGAGTTAGACAAAATGCAACATTTGGCACATTTTAAAAGATTAGAGCTTGAGACTTCCCTTGTTGTTTTTTGAGGCATCATTTTGAGGCCCACTGCCAAAGTTCTTGGATAGTTCTTCTCTCTGTTTTCACTGATTTGGTTAGAAAATTGTCATGTTTACCAGCTACTTCTTGAATTTGGTGATGCTGATTTTCCATTTTCTTAGAAAGGCAAAAAGGTTGAATTCTTTCTTGTTTTCAAAATCCTTCGGCTCCTGCAAATTTAAAGCACAAAGGTGTACTCTTAGACTCTAACTTGAAACAACAACACAGAGAATAGCATAAAGCAGGATACAAGTAACTTTAGAATAGATAATCCTTTGACTCAGAAGAAAAAATTTAAAGCACAAAGGTGTACCCTTTGTCTTTTTTCCCCTCCTTCAGTTACTTTCCACTCAGCATCATCCATTTCACCAACTGCTTCACTAGAAAGCCATGGGTATCAGAGTAAACCAGATTTAGATCACAGTAGAAAAAGATACATAACACAAATCATGAAATGCCAATTATGTTGCCCACAAATCTATAATGCATCTCCTGTCCCCCTGAACTCAACTACTCAACCCTGAAATATGGAAGCAAAACACACACACACACATAAATTATTGGAAGGAAATTTTCCAAATTAGAACAAAAAGGTTAACCAATAATCACTCCTAAAACATGGAAGACCAGCTAAATGGTTAAATTATTATTCCCAAACTACAAATACTTCTACAACGAATTCCCCCTTCTTTTAAAAAATATTCCCTATAATTAATCCCCTGAAAAACAAAAAATCATCTATCATCATTGCACCGCTTTTATGTAGAATTTTCACAATTGAATAAATACATGCAGATAAAGCCAAAGCGGAATGGAAAAGACAAAACTAAACACCTGTTCGTGGCAAAGTTAGAGACTGTGGTGGAACAGAAGCACCCACAAGTTCCATTCTATGATCCACACCTTGTTGTTTGGATTTGCACTTGTCACTTGTGACTCAACCGCAAAACATTGATATCAACGTCGGTGCAACCCTTTCATTGTATCTGAATCCAATGTTTGTGACTTCTAAATTAAGATTATGTTCCTCCGAAGTGTGATATGAAACGAAACTGTAACAAAAAAATAAAGGGATTTTTAATGATTCTGACCGGGAAATTTTCAAGTGAATCAGACTGAGCTGTCGTCAAACTCAGAGAAACTAAAAAACAAAAAATGTGTGCTGTGAATTTCTTAGGTATGATTACAAATTTATTATAATTGTTAAAAATATAAAATTTGCAGGTTACGAATATTTTAGACCATTTTAACATATATTGGTTATGAAGTTCAATCGGTAAATAATTGGTTCCATTTAGAGATCGCACCGGCGAGGATTTACGCTTAAAATTCGTTACGGATAATAAATAAATAAGGTAATTGAGAGATAGATAATTTTTTATCCATTTATAAACGAGGTAGGGGTGGGTTCGATGATATTTATATTTGCGGGTACCCGTTTAGTAATATTTCTTAAATATCCTAATTATCCTTGTATCACATAACCTAAAAACTACACTCTCTCATCTTTGTGATATGATACTTTCACTTACTTGTCAGATTGATGTATTTTAAGTTATTGATTATATTGTATTTTTATTATTATTTCAACAAAATTAACGTTAAATACAAGTTCAAAATTAACATTGAATTTTTATTTTTAATATTTTAATGAAATTAAATATAAACTTAAAATTATTTGTAATATAATTTTTTAAATTTCTTAAAAAGTTTATAAATATCCGTGGGTATTCAAGAAATTCATGAATACCCGCGTGAATATGGGATAGATATGAGGTCAATTTTCATCTAGCGGGGCGGGGACGGATTTACTATTACCCGCCCTCATGAGACCGCCATTCCTAGTTCCATTTAGGGATGGCAAAAATACCCGCACCGGCGGGTATTTGTGGGTAAAATCCGTTATATCCGTTACGGATAATAAATAGATAGGCTAATTGAATATCCGCGGATAATGGGAATGGATAATTTTTTACCCGTTTATAAATGGGGCGGGGCAGGTATGATGATATCCATACCCGCGGGTACCGTTTAATAATATATATTAAATATCCTAATTATCTTTGCACCACATAACCCTAAAACTATACTCTAATCTTATTTTCTTGTCATAAAATTATGTTGGATGTAATTTGATTAATTTTCTAGCTTTGATTAGACCAATAAGATTTATGTATTTTAAGTTATTGATTATCTTGCATTTTTATTATTATTTCAACAGAATTAACGTTAAATACAAATTAAAAATTAACATTGAATTTTTATTTTTAATATTTCAATGACATTAAATATAAATTTAAAATTATTTGTAATATAATTTTTTTAATTTCTTAAAAAATCTATAAATATCCATGGATATCCGTGGGTATTCAAGAAATTCATGGATACCCGCTTAATGGATACCTGCGTGGATATGCGGTGGGTATGGAACCAATTTTCATATAGCAGAGCGAAGATGAGTTTACTATTACCCGCCCCCACGAGGCTCCATTGCCATCCTTAGTTCCATTGTTGTTATGATAACCAAATCAATATTTGGTGACCAATAATACATGAAAAATCATATTAGTTAAACATTTACAATTATTACACTTATTAGTAATTTTATATAAAAAAATATTATCAATTTAAATGGTGAATTATAATTTTATATTACATTATATATTTATCAAAATTTATTAAAATTTAATAAAATTTAAAAAATAATTAAATTGTTCATATTTTAATATGAGTTAATCACTTATACACTGTCAGTGTAAAGTTTTTTTTACAATGACAACCAATCATATCTTTTAATAGTGACATGTTAGTTGCTTATTTAATGAAATAATAATAAAATATACAACTTTAAAAGATATGATTGGTTGCTAGTGTAAAAAACTTTACACTAGTTATGTATGGATGATTAACTCTTTTAATATATCATAAATGTAAATTGATTTTAATTTATACAAATGTGTTATAAATAATTTTAAATAAATATAAAATCTTATATATGATATTGAAGGAGAAAAATTTTTCAATCTAACAATAAATTTTAAAAAATAATTATTCAATTAAAAATTATTAAACAATATAATAATTGATAAAAATTATATCGGTATAATTTATCTTCCCCTATAATAATATATATAACAATTTAAAGATAAACATTATAAAATAACAATTATTTTATAAAACCTGAAAATTATTCTATACTTATTTTTTTAAGTAATTAAAGTCATGAGTTAATTTGAATTAGAGTCGATAAAATAAAATAAATTTATTAGATTAACTTATTTAAGTCGTTTAAAAGAAAACTCATTTAACTTCTTAATTTCAATCAATTAGATTATATAGCATAAAAATGTATCTGGGATGATGATAAAAATTAAATTATTTTAATAATTGATTATAATAAAAACAATTTTTTTTAAATAATTTTATTAAAAAATGATTTAAATATAATTAATTTTTTTTTTGTTGCATATTGGTTTATTTGAATACCAATAAGAAAAAAAATATTAGTAAAGTTGAGAAATATAGTGTAATGGGAAAAGTTGTTCTTAAAAAAATTTAACGATTCAAAATTACATATGTTGAAAATTAGGATTTTGTTATAGGTTGATATTATGGTTAGTCTCATGAAACAATTTATTTAGTGAAAAGCTCATGTTTGAAACATGTTTTATGTGAAAATCTAGAGTCGTCAAAATAAGTTAGAATTTGTGGGTCAATCTAACTAACTATAGGTTTGAATTAAAAAAAATTTGTTTGTTTCAATTATAAGAAAAAAAATAAGCTAGTCCACGTATAACTTTATTTATCATAATAAAACAAGTTGACTCACTTATACCATTAACTTAGTTATTATTGTCTTTTTATTTATTTATTTTAGTCCTATCAATATTATTTATATTTTATTTAGTTAGAGAATAATCTTATTCACAATATTATAATTCTCACTATATAACAAGTTTTTACACACAACATAGATCACATATAGGTTTTTTATCAAATAGATCATTTATGCAGTGTATAAATGTAAGACGATTAACCATTGTATTAATCCATAAGATTAGTTGATTGTGGTTGACACTATTTTTTTTTAACAATTTGGCTGTCGCGTTGAAAACACAATTGTTATTATAAAATATTTAAATTATAGGAGTTTGTTTTTATTAGATTTTTTTTTTTTTACTTTAAGTTAATTGGGTTGGATTGATTCACATTTTGAGTAAGGTTGAATCAACTACTTTGATAGCTCTACGAAAATCTTTGAAGCTAATTATAGATAGTCAGAATATCGATATAACTTTTTTTAAAATTATAATATAGTTATAAAATATTTATCACTAAAACATAATAAGTAACAATTTTTTTTTATCACGATCATAAACACATATATTATGGATATCACGCAGATAAATATATGAACTAATAAGGTGAAAATACTCGTGAGAGAAAAAAAAAATAATGGCATTTCTAATTAGGTTTTAGAAACTGACGACCTGCCTGCATATTTTTGCAATATTGGTAATGGAATAAGTTGATATATTTTGTAATTTTGTTACTACTAATTATCAGCAGACATTTATATAAAAACATATTAATAAGATAAGGAAGTTTTTAAAAAAGTTAAGATTGATAAATTAATTTTAAATTATAGAAAAACAAGACTTATTTTACTTCTTTATTTGTTTTATTTGTTTTTCTTGGCAATTATGTTAAAAAAACTTTATTTATAAGTATAAATATTATTTATTTCCAATAATATTATCATATATTGGTAATATAATTATTAGTTTCAAAGTTATTAAAATATGAATTAGATTGAGTCATATTAAAAATTCAAATTCATTAGTATAATTTTAGGAATAAATCTTCAAAACTTATTTTATTAATAATATATTTCTTAAAATATAAATTAATCATTTGAAATTTTAGATAAATTAAGCATTTATACTTTTGTTTCAAAGTAAAGATTTGCATATATTTAAAAGCTTAATTTCGCTCACTTGCTTCAACTGGGATCGAAATTAACCCCTAAGAGCATGTTTAGAAAACCGTTTGAATCACCACAAACATGAAATCCCACTTTTCAAAGTATAAAAACAAAGAAGTAAAATTTTGTAGCTTTTAAATAAACGTGAGTTTAGAAGGCATCTAACGCCAACCTAAAAACATTTAATATAAAGTTATCGAGCGATGTAATATTACTTCGTTCAATAACTTATGTTCTACGTCAAATTTCAACGATCCAACCGTTCACTTTAAAGTTCTTAATGCATAAATCAAATTTGCAAATTTTTATAAAATTTAAAAATTATTTGATACTTCGTTTCATTAAATCGAATCAATGTATAAAATGATTTTATGATTATCTGTCAATTTGAATTAATGAAATGAAGTATCAAATGATTTTCAATTTTTTTTAAAATTTGCAGATTTGATTTATGCATTAAGAACTTTAAATTGAACAGTTGGATCATTGAAATTTGATGTAGAACATGAGTTATTGAACGGAGTAAGTCTAGTTAGAGTTACTTTTGGAGTAAAATGATCTTTCCTTATATATATATATAATATTTGACTTTTTTTTAATTATCTACTATTTATCTCTTCTCTTTTATTTAACTAGTAATTTAATTGTTTATTTTTGTTTCTGGGCACTAATTATCATAATAAACTCAATAATAATAATCTCAATGAAAAATTACACATGGAAGCTAAGTTTTGAAATAATGAAATCAAAATCACAGTGGCTTAAAAGATTAAAAAAAACGTTAGGGGTATGAATAGCAAAAGTGGGAGTTTAAAAGCAATGTCTTATTTTCACTAGTTTTTTTTATTGTGGGCTATTGGGCCCGTAGTTTTTCGGCCCCGTAGAGTTGGCCAGGTTAAATGAACATAGATTAATAACAACCCAACATGTAGGTAAAGATAATAACGAAAAGAATAATGTTATGGTACACAAATTTTGACCAAAAATTTGAACGAATTGAAAAGATGCTTTTCTATTTGTTTAGCATAAAACATTGATCAAGAAATTTCAATAAATGGAAATTAGTTAATATTCATCAATGGTTTTCTATTAGTTAAGCATACCAAATGGAAATTAATCATGTTTTCCTCAAGCAACTATCGACCATTTAAAATTATAGTCACTAGTTATTATATTTGACTAGTGAAAAGTATAAAAAACAAATAAAAACATTAATAACCTTATCACTGAATATCATTTTAGTTTGCTTTAATTATATTGTACTCCTTCCATTTTTTTTTGTTTGACATTTAAGGTTATGCACAAGAATTAAAAAAAAAAATAATGTAAATATTTTAGTTTTTCAAAGTATTTATTACTTATTTTCCTGTTATACCCTTTAGGTGGTGGAAGAAGAAATAAGTACATTAAAAAATGAATAAATACATTGTTCAGTAAACACATATTAATTATAAAAATAAAAATAATAAAGAAAATTAATAAGTGATTAATTTAAAAAAATGGAAATAAAAAAAAAAATATTAACATAGTGTGTTATATGATGGTTTGTATGATATGATAAATGTGAAATGTTACCTTTAATTCTTTAGAGAAAAAAAAAAAAAGAAAGAAAAGATCTCTGCATGGTCCTGTTGGAAAACAAATGGCATATGTGGACAAAAAGTGGAAATTATGAGTGTACCTATTATGCTATCGGGTAGACAAGGGCATAGTAGTGGCAGTGAATGAGTAGATGTATGTCCCAAATGCTGCATGTGATGAAGATAGTATCAGACAAATCCGGGCCCTGCACGGTTGCACATTCATTAGAGTCAACTCAATTTGTTGTATACTAAACGACATGCTTCCAACTCCAACCTCATCCTTTCTGTCACTATCTCACTCCTAACATATAAAATATTGCCCACGAATTCATCCCACAAGAACCATCCACTTTTTGTCTCCTAACCACACGGTTCTTTTAATTTATCAATCCTCATTTTTTACGCCCTATATTTCATACCTTGTCCTGCTTATTCAACTATTTTCCTTTTCTTTTCTCCTAAGGAGTTCAGTGGTCCAAAAAGAGGAATTAATATTTGAGGCGGAACCGGTGGGTTTTGACAATCTCATCAAGTAAGCTAAATACAGTGCACTCATCACTTGTAAACTCAATTACAACAAGTTAGTTCCTTGAGGTCGCGGTATGATCAAAATTCACTAATAGAGTATATGAGTGAATAAATTTATGTACTAGGAATACTATGAACACATTCTTTTAAACATGTTATTTTAATTGGTTAAAATTTATTATAAAAATTAATACATCTCACATGCTATCTAACGACTTTGTTTTAATTTTGTAATTCTTATAAACTTTAATCAAGAGAGTGTTTCAAGTGTGTTAAAAAGTACATAGTTATAACTACTATTCCATATTTGTATTGATGCGTTGAAACCCAAAATAAGTGGTCTAGAAGAGGTACGGATGTGAATGTGAAATTTATGATTTTAATATTAATATTGGCCAACAACAACTACTACTACACCATAGTTGGTGACTAGTTCACAGCTACTTCCATAATTGACTTGCGTTGCGTGAAGCACCTATTAGCTATACCTTGATGAGAGTAATGGTTATTGTTATTGAGATCTCCACCTAGAACTAGAAGCTACCTCTCTCCTTCTTCTCCTTTCATATATATCTTTCACTCTCACAGTCTCACTCCATTATTTCCACTCATCCACTTCTCAAAATGAGCACGCAGCAGCTAAAGAGGTTCAACTCAATGGAACGCAGACCCAGAATGCTGAAGGACTTCCTCAGCGAGAATCTAAACTCTTGCTCCTCAACTGGCTTCAAATCACTCCCTAGAAAACCAAACACCACCATGCACACGCTCATGCAAATGGAACTCAAATCACCATCACCATCACCATTTCAAACACTCATCAACACCATAAGAAGCATCTCTCTCTTCACCTCGATGAGAAAATCATCGCCCTCCGTCCTCTCCCTCCCCAGAACCCTCTCGCGCAAGCTGTCATCATCTTCCAGAAGAAGAACCCGAGCGTGCAACCAAGTCAACATAGGATCAACGGTCAAGATCAAGGACATCATACGCTGGACATCGTTCAGGGACGCTGTGGAGCCTTCTCTTCCGCCGTTGGATTTCGCCTCCTCTACCACTACCACAATCACCACCACCGCAACCACCACTTGCTGCAGCAGCGCCTCTAGCTGGAGCGAGAGCGATTACTTCGCCACTTCGTGGGAAGAACCGCAAAACGACGGCGTTGAAAGTAAAACCTTCTCGTTTTCACCTCTTGTTGTCGGCAAAGACTCCGGGGCCAAGGTGAGAGCAATTATTATTCACTGCCACGCATCTTTACAAAATATTCGTGTGTCTGCGGTTCAAGGTCTTGTTATGTTTGCTTGTCTTTTTGTTTTTGTTATTACTTTTCGTTTTGGAAATTCCCTTTTATTTCTTTTACCAATTATTATCATATAAAGACAAAAAAAAAAAAAGGAGTTTCGTTGAAAATAAAGTTGAAGAACATTGTATGTGGACAATATTTTATTTTATAATCTGTCGGTGGGGGAGTTTTGTAGCACTTTAAACATGTGTTTTTTTATTTTTTTTTATGAATATATATTAGTAATGACTATAAGACCCTTAAAAACATTTTGCAAATTTACTTTGCGTGTTATTGTGTATAAGATTTTTAAATGGGGTTAGTTGCAGTTGGTGATCACAATTAATTTACATTAATGCTAATTTATGCAAACTGTTTATTGGGATTTTTTTTACTGATATAAACTAGTATGTACTGTATTATGTAATTTTGACAGAAAGTTTTAACTTGCCAAGAAGAACAACACAGTCCAGTTTCAGTTCTTCAGGTTGGAGAAGATGAATTCTCACTTTTTGATCAAAGCCTTGCCAATATTGAAAGTAAGTTCCTTCTTTTCCTTCAACTGTCTCTTTCTAGTCCTAATTCATTAACCAACACATTCTGTAGACCAATCAAGTGCATGTTTTGCACTGCTTTTTAAATGGAAATTATCATCTAAAAGAAAGAAGTCTCTTAAAAATTGAATAAAAAAAACATTTTTCTTTAAAATAAACTGAACCAACACTCAACAAACTTATTTGCCATGGATATCCATCAGTTGTTGTCCTAATAGTATACAAAAATTTGAGTTTCATATGAGAATGTTACTAATAATGTTTTTACTTTTGAGCAGGGAGAAAACAGAAGTTTATTCAGACAGTTGAAAAATTGGAGAGCCTTGCAAAATTTGACCTTGCAAATTTTGACCAATGTCTCTCATTAGATGACAACTCTGGCTATGATGAAGAATATGAAGATGAAGACAGTGACATTGAAGGACAAGATTGGATTGAGGAAAAGGCAAAGCAGCTGCTACATTTTGTGAAATCCAGAGGTTCAGCACATGGCTGTAGGGACTATTTGGATACCATTCTGTTGGACTTTTTCAGGGAAGAGCTAAGTGGAAGTAGAAACCAAAATAAGAATGATGAGGAGTTTGAGTTGGAGTCATTGAGAATAGCTGAGGATTGGATAAATGGGTCATTTGCTTTTGATGCAGGGAATGCTAATAAACATGCTTTTATTAAGGACATGGATAGAAGAGAACAGTGGAGTAGATTTAAGGAGGAGCAGGAAGAATTGGCTTTTGAAATTGAGACAGCTATATTGCATAGTTTGGTTACTGAGCTAGTGGACCTGGATGGTTAATAGTTGCCCTTTTCAAAGTTCAAATCAAGTTCTCTACTTCTTTAAGATTTCTGGGCCTTTAGCCTCATTTCTCAACAGAAGTGATCTGGGCTTACTTTCCTTGTAGCACTTGAAGCCCAAATCAGAAAAGTAGGTCTTCTCTTACTGCACTCATTTAGATCTACCAACCAGACCAGAAAAATAAGGGTACCTAGTTACCAAGTGCAAAGGGATGCCTTCTTTTGTGGTAACTAAGGACAAAAGTCAGAGTTTGGTGAGCTTTGGATACTCTTATGTGAAGGGTAATCAGATGCTAGTGGACATGAGTACATGATGGGGTTGTGCTGTACTCAAATTTAATTATGACTTAGATTTTGGACTTCGGAATGTAGCAAATTAAATTGGTGGATTTAAAGGCATAATCATGCCTACTTTTGTTAAGTTACAGTACAGGTACATGGAAGTCTTTTGATTGATCCACATATCTGTAAAGAAGTTAATTAATCAACATTTAGCACTTCCTAATGTTGAAAATATTCCGGTTCAAATATATATCCTTTATACAATTACAACTGAAATAGAATAAGAGTGTTAAAAGAATGTGTTGCTAGCAATTTTTTTTTTCAAAATAAAACTGTACCATACACACCCATATGACCCTCTTTTTCTTCATTTGATGGAAAAGGTTTATATTTGTAAAATAATTACTTTTTCGACAAAGTTATTTTTCTTTTAAATTAGAATTGCTTTTATGTTTAACCCTCCACTTTTAATTAGGTCAACACATATATGAAACTTGTCCAGATTAATTGATCTTAATTTTTTTGGGTAATGGATCTGTTTTTTTTTTTTTTTTTAATTTAAAAATAGTATTTTTAAATAAATGCTTTAAATTTTCTTTTAAAAAGGTAGATTCGAATTCCTTCTTAAAAAAAGTAAAAAAATATTTATTTTAAAAAATAAATTTTGACAAATACATAAAAAATAATTATTTAATTTATTTAAAAATATCATAAAAAGTTAAAAAAGGATTTAATATATGTGAATTAATCAATTTTAATTTAAATAGGTTTTAATTTAATTCAGTTTAATGATGTCATAAAGGTGATTAATAAGAAGATCCCAAACTAATTGATTGAATACACAGTCCACTTAATTCCTTTATCTTTCTTATATTTAAATTTAAATGATGTTGCAAAAATATTAAATACATTATTATTAATATTATTAATATTATTATTATTATTATTATTATTATTGTAATATCCTAATTTTTTTAGATAACAATATTCTCAATATTATTATTAAGTGTATTCTTCTTAAAATAGTAATTGAAATTTTTAGTTATGATAATATATATAGAGAATAAGTATAATATTTTCACTATATATATATATATATCAAAATTTTATTACAATAATTTTTAGTGAAATAAAATTATAAAATATGTATTCCTAATAATATAATTATTATGGTTTAATTAAATAGAATCACCTAAAATTTATAATTTTATTATTATTTTAAATTAAATTCTTAAATTTTAGTTAGTATAATTAAAATAAAATAAAAAAATACTAGTGTTTTAAAATCTTATGTTTAGTAAACTATATATATATATATATACATATATATATATATATATGTATATGTGTGTGTGTGCTATCTAATTATATTATAAATATTACAAAAAAAAACTTATTATAAATTTGCATGATGTTATAAATATATAAAATAAAATGGTTCAGTAGTTTGACCAATTGTGCTTAAGAACTACATGTACTGGGTCATAAATGCTTGTAGATATTCCTCCGTAATTGAAATAAACGAAAGAGAAAAGTGAGAAAGAAAGAGAAAGATAAACAACTTTAAGGTAAGGGGGAGGAGAACTTGATCTTTTTAAAATTTTATATACTCTTATGTTTATTTAATTGTGTTATTTTTATATATTTATCTAGTAGGGTTTAGGGTTTAGGGTTTAGGGTTATTTATTTGCTTAACCTATGATTATTGCTATCCATAATAATTATTAATATGTTCATATTTTATATTGTTTAATTATTTTATAATGATTATCATTGTCATTTAATTAATTGGTGCTCTTAATATATTTTATTTACGTATATGTTATTTATTTAATGCTTAAATAATGATAAATTTTCAAATTTATTTAGCGTGATTATTTTTATGATTGATTATAATATAATTTTGTTAAATTGTCTTTGACTCATTTTAAAGATAAATATTATTCTATGGTCATAGAAGATAAAATTTGAATTATTTGTAGCTGGAGGTTTGACCTTGGGGATTTAAATGAGTAAGGAGTTAAGGCGAAATAAATTCTTTTATTGGTTGATATGATGATAATGCTCATTTATCCTGACTAGTCACTACAAGTATAATTCAAATTTTAATGTTAATCATCATTAATATATTATTTTTTTAGTATTAATTATTGCTACGCATATTATATGATTATAAATATTTATTTTAAAATTGTTCTCACTCCTTATGTTTCTTGTGTAATATAATCATAAAAATAATTAAATAAACATAGATGGATGTTCCAGCAATTCCAGCTCCTTTTCTTTCAGTAATTTCTGCAGTCTTCTCTGGCACAACATGGGTGTTGATGTTGTAGCCAACTCAGTTACTTTCAATGGAGTAACTGTGTCTTCATTCACTTTTTCCCCAAATCAATAAATTCCCACGGTGATAGATGGACCCATGGTTGTTACTTTTTACTTATACCTCTAGCAAATTATGTGAACCCTATTGTAAATTTGTTTCAGCCACCCATGTAATTATTATAATAGAAGTAAAAAAGAGAAACTATGATATGTAAATAGGCACGTAATAATCTGTAATATATATGTGTAAAAGTAAGCAATTACGCACGTAGTAGTAAATATTTATGGTATTGTATGATGTATAATATTATTACTATACATGTGTTTTCTAGCTAGAAATATTGTATATATATATATATAATAATTTATATATATATATATATATATAAAGAATATAACGATAACTATTTTTATTTTCTTTCCTATTTAGTTTTTTAAACATAACAAATACAAATCTTTCTTTTTTATTTAGTTATAATGAAAACCTTAAATATTCAACATTTTTCATTCAGATGATAGATTAATCAAGATAATCATTTTAGAACTTTCTATTTAATTATTGTGAAAATTTAAGATTGGTAACTATAATCATTCTAGATTTAATTATAATTTAGTTATCAACATAATTTTTTAACTAACAAAATAATTAGGTTTCTAAAAAATGATAAAATAATTAAAAATAAAAAGACAAATACTAGCAACACATTATTTGATTGGTTGAATTTTATTGAAAAACACAATTTGTTGAATCTCATATTCTATTTAATGACTCTCTTTTTTAATCTTATAATTTTTAATAAACTTTTACTAATAAATATAATTTTTTATTATTGATTCATGAAAAAAAAACTAAATTGTTATTCTAGAGTCTTTAAATTTAGAAAGCACTGCAGTATTGATCACTAAAATTAATAAAATGTTAAATAAGCTTATGAAAATATAAACTATTAATAAAATTAGTCTTAAAACAATTAAGTAAATTATTAATAGTCTTTATAAATTAAATTTAGAGAAAGTAAATAAATTGCGTAACTACATTTTGGGGGAATAAACTATATACCTGATTGATTTTGAGATGAAATAAATATAAATGAGTTATAACTATTTTGGATCTCTTTCCTATTTAATTTTTACAAAGTTTTTAATGATGACAATTATAGATATTCTTTTTGTTTAATTATATTGAAAATCTTCTTACATGTTAAACTTTTCTTTACATGCTAAGTTAATCAAGATAATATTTTGAAACTCCCAATTTGATTATTGTGAAAATTAGATTGGTAGTAATAACCATTCTAGATTTTATTTATTGTGATAATAAAATTAGTTTTAAAATAAATAAGTAAATTATTAATAATTTTTATAAATTAGATTTAGAGAAAGTAAATAAATTATAGATAAATTTTATAAAAGTAAATAAGTTATGTAACTATTTTTTGAAAAGAATAAACCACTACAAGAAAACTTGCCTTTATTAGAGACTAAATTTTCAATCTCCAAATTAACAAAATCAGTTACTAAATCAATAAGTGACTAAATTAGACAATTGTAGAAAGTAACTAAATCGCTAGTTGCTAATTTTAGCTATCAATCTAGAGTTTGATTTAAAAACTAATTTAATGACCAATTTTGTGACTAATTGTATATGACCAACTTAGTAACTTATTTTACAATGACCAACTTATTGACCAATTTTTAATGACCATCTCATTGACTAATTTATAGTGACTGTTTTAATTACCAATATTACAGTAACCAATTTAAATACCAATTTTGGTAATAATTAATTTAGTAACCTATTTTATAACAACTAACTTAGCAACTTATTTTGTAATAATCAATTTATCTAATTACTTTTGAGACGAAGTGAATATTTATACCTATTACAAATATATATATATATATATAATTATTTTTTAATTTCATTATTTATTAGATCATTATATCCTTAAAATGTAATTTTTTTAATCTTTTTTAAATAATTACACGTAACCCTCTATAATATATATATTTTTATGTATAACTATTAGAGAGAGAATAATATATATATTTTTATGTATAACTATTAGAGAGAGAATAATATATATATATTTTTATGTATAACTATTAGAGAGAGAAAGTAACTCATCCACTCTATAATAATGTAAATAAACCGCAAGAAGACACAATATTTACATCATTCCATTTACAAAATAGCATCCAACTTTTCCTTGGATGTTTTCTTCTACAATCAAGCTGAATTCCGAAGGTTCCTTGGATATTTTCTTCTACGATCAAACATTCAAACTCTGAATTTCGAAGGTTTTGCCACTCACTTACTCACTAACATTATTCATTTTTCTTGAAAATTAGAATTATTTTTGTGTTTAACCCTCAAATTCCCAGGCTTTCTTTTAATTAGGCCAACACATGTATTAAACTTGTCCAGATTAACAGATCTTAATATTCTTTTTTGTACCGGGTCTATTTTTTTTTATTTAAAAAAAATAGTATTTTTAAATAAATACTTTCATTTAAAAAAAAAACAACGAATTGCTTCTTTAAAAAGTAAAAAAAATCAAAGTGTTTATTTAAAAAACATAAATTTAGACAAACACATAAAAAAAATTTTAAAAAATATTTTTATTTTATTTATAAAATGTTTTTTATAAGAAAAAGTAAAATAAAAATATTTAATATATGTAATATAAATCGGTTTTAATTTAAATCAGTTTAATGATGTAATAAAAATAGTTATTAAGAAGGTTCAAAATTGGTTGATTGGATACACAAACCGTTTCAAATTTACCGGTTCACTTGAATTCTTTTATCTTTCTTGTATGAAATTATATAATATAATATATATATAT